TCTTCAAGAATTGACCAAACGCTACGGTGTTGATTCTGACTTGGGTGTTGGTCCTGCTCAACTCCGTATTCCAATCGTTGTTGACGATGTCGTCAACTCGTTAAGGAAGAAAGATATGTCTGTTGAAGGTATTTTCCGTTTGAACGGTAACATCAAGAACTTGAGAGAATTGACAGAACAGATTAACAAGAATCCTCTCAAATCACCCGATTTCCACAACTATTCGGCGGTGCAGTTGGCTGCGCTTTTGAAGAAATGGCTTAGAGAAATGCCTACACCGTTGCTTACCTTCAATCTATTCGATTTATGGATCTCCTCGAGAAAGACTAACGACGCTGCAATGTGCAAGAGGATCTTACAACTCACATACTGTATGCTTCCAAGAAGTCACAGAAACCTTCTTGAGGTGCTTCTCCACTTCTTCAGATGGGTTGCCTCGTTTGCGTCTACGGATGAGGAGTCAGGATCAAAGATGGACACTCATAACTTGGCTACAGTGCTTGCTCCAAACATTCTTATCTCCAAGAACCAATCGGCAGACGGACCACCCGTTCAGTCTGGTGAATCTTACTTTTTGGCAATTGAAGTCGTCAATCAGATGATTGAAATGCATGAAGAGCTCGCCGTGATCCCACCAGATTTATGGGAGTTATTCGAAAAGTGCCAATTCACTAGTACACCCAAATTGGATACTGTGAGCTCCAAGGATATCTTCAGCAAGGTGCAGAAACACTCGAAGGAGGACCCTGAGGTATTCAAGCGGTTCCTCAAGCTTGAGGCTTCCACAAAGCCAAGCCAACAAAATACAATCAAAAGAGGCCAAATCAATGTGGACTCTTTATCAACAGCGAAATAATGATGATGTTATGACATGAAACTAATAAAAGTTTTTTAATACTAGTTCAATCTATATCTATAATTGTAGCTATATACTTAGTGAGAGAGTGTGTGTGTGTGTTCTGCACAGTGGCTAGACACCAGTGAGATTTCCAGTGAGAAAAGTCAACGAAGAATCTGAGTTATCTTTCCCATCGATATGGCTCTCACCGCAGATTCCCTCAAGGATATCATCCAAGAAAGGCTCCAGGCTAATCTTGTTCAGGTAGAGGACATGTCAGGCGGATGCGGACAGGCATTCGCTGTTATTATAGTGTCCGAGGCCTTCAAGGGAAAGAATAAGTTAATGAGACACCGTCTAGTGAATGGTGCCTTGAAAGAAGAAATCGCTGCCATTCATGCTTTTACCCAGAAAGGTTTCACGCCGGATGAATGGAAAGCGCAAGGAGGCATCCTCTAATCTAAAGCACGCCCCTCCTTTTATGACCAGCATAACGCTTACAAATGGCAGCCCAAATGACGAGAAGGATCACGTACAAGGCAAGCACGATGAAGGGCTGCAATTTCATACCAAACTTGCTGTGTTCAGCAGCAACTCCAACGAGGAATGGGAGAGCTGCCGCTCCTCCTCCTCCAAATGCACAGATAAAGCCCACACTAGTTGCATGGTACCTGTGAGGTAAGATTTCGATAGAGGCAACGATAAGAGTGGGGAAGATTGGTCCCACGAAAAGGCCCGTCAAGAAGACGATTGGGAACAAGATCCAGTTTGTTTGGGCAAAAGCAAATAGGCAGAATACCAAATAGCCGATCATGGAGGATAAGATGTACGCCAAGTTCGCCGTGAGCTCGCTATTGAACACAGCAGCAGTGACGAACCCAAGGACAATTCTTCCTACCGTTAAACCAACCCAGAATGTTGTGGCCATCCACGAGGAATATTTATAGCTGAGCCCCTTGATTCTGATCAAGAATGTCATGAGCCAAGCGCCAAAAGCAACTTCACCGCCGACGTAGATGAATAGACAAATAGCAAATACCCAGACAAGCTTAGATTTGAGAGCATCACCAAAAGAGACGTCAGCGCCCTCGTCGACCGATTCATCGCCTGAGCCGATCTCAAATTCAGGGTCCTTATCAGCAAGATTCCTCTTCATTTCTTTCAAAATGACATTGAAGCGGTACTTCGACGCAGTCTCGTAGTAAAAAGAGATCGTGAAACAGATCAAGTTGAACGCTCCAATGACACTAAGCACCACGTAGTACTGGCTCCAATGCCAGGGGTTGTGTTTCCGTTCCATAAGCTTTGTTACTAACGGAGGAGAAATCATGCACCCTAAACCGTAGCATCCATGGACTATACCTAGAATCTGGTTTGAGTCAGCGATACCACCAGCCCAGCCATTGATACTGGCGTCCAAACTTCCCATGCCAATGCCATTGAAGACGAAACATAAAATGAAAATCAGGAATGGTGGGTGGAAGCTAATCACAAGATAGGCAAATGTCATGGAGGCCGTGCCGATAATGCCGACACCTTTGACACCAAAACGTTTCTGAAAGAACTCACATGATAATGCCAGGATGAAGTACCCAGCAGTAGACGCCAAAAAGATGAACGACGTCTCCAAGTCGTTAATTTCATAGTGTTCCTGAAGCCGAGGGATGATGGCACCAATGGTCTGCTCTGCCAATCCGAACAAGACGAAAGTCAGAAAGGCAACAACCACTTGGAATTTCAAAAGCTTGCTATCCCTCCAGTCCACAGAGTCCATGAAGACCTCCTGGCCATTGAACTGAACCGTATACCTCTGGTTCGGTGGTAGGGTCGCTAAGTACTTGAAGTCAGGCCCATCGATAGCATCAGATCCAGGACTAGGCTCTAAAAACGGTTCGTTGATATCCTCGAGAGGAATGGACGACATTAAGTTTGGAGATGACTTAGTATCAGGTGAAAAAGATCTGTGAAGAATTTGCGGTAACTGCCTTTTTTAAACGGCTCCATCAGTGCCTCACTGATTTTGGTGCGCAGGGATGCAGCCACAGATAAGGTTTGTCAGGAACAGTAAGGGGAGATTTTTTAGCAACTACGATTTCTTATAGAGGAGAAGTGTTTATATCGAAATTTCTTCGGTCATTTGGTCAAAACTGCTCTCTTGTAGGTAGATCGCAAATTGCGGAATTGAGTCTTTGAGATGTTCCGATGAGTGGTACGCACAGGACCCAGAAAGTGAAAAATGGGGTAAAGTTGGAGATATTTCGATATTGAGGTTTTTGGGGTTGTTAGAATCGCTCATAATTTTTGAGACAATGAATGTTTCAGATTGAGATGCCCCAGGAATCTCGATATCGTCCCGGGCCGATGCGCCGTTTGAAAACCGTTGAGCGGCTTAGTCAGCCGTAGTGGGGCTAACAGAAGCTCGGGTCTAACCGAGGGTGACTTCCAAGTTTTGCAAATAAAGAGACATATTTTGGTTCTTTTAAATATAGAGAGGTTAAGTGCCCGTGCTTCGAGCTGTAGGAGTAGATATATGGTTGCTGCACCCCAGCTTGAAGGTAAGCACCCTGACGTTAAAGCTCGACTCGTTTCTCCAGTAATTCGTGATTACTGCCATTTTTTGCAACATAATGTGACTTTGAGCTTGAGCTGGAAACAAAACACTTAATAAGACGACAGTAAATGGAGAAAACTGGGCTACAAGCTGCATCTCTTTGTCAATACTGTAATAGGTGAGGCCATGAATCAGCTTGCACCCCAGGGAAGGGGCCTTTTTTTTTTGCTCTAGGTCTTTAAATACAAAATTCAAGTTCGAAAATCTCGTATACAAATTGATCTGCATCTGAATTCATGGATTTTACTTCCACAAAATGCTTTGGTACCACCAGGCTCCTACAAACGTTCCTGTGCAAAACGAGTATACTGACCAGTTTCGTGCATATAGTGGTTCACGTGACCAACAAAATAGAGCTCTCATACCCGCATGCGCGCCATTTCTAACAAGGTGCCTCCTTAGCTTAGTGGTAGAGCGTTGCACTTGTAATGCAAAGGTCGCTAGTTCAATTCTGGCAGGGGGCATTTGTCCGCGCAAGTGGTTTAGTGGTAAAATCCAACGTTGCCATCGTTGGGCCCCCGGTTCGATTCCGGGCTTGCGCATTCTTTTTTTATATACCCCAGATTCTCACTTTTTGTCAAACTCTTCTCTTCAATGCCTAGTCCAACTTCGAAAAGAGCTGTCCTTGCAGCAACCAATGCAAGTATGTATCCCTAAAGCACACTCATACAAAATCTAACACTGCAGTTCAAAAGCTTTATCCAGTCAGACTAGCCGATAGTTCCTGGGACAATACCGGTTTGTTAGTGGACTCATCATCAGAAGCCAATGAGTCCGATGGCTGCAAGATTTTGTTGACAATTGACCTTACCCAAAATGTCGCCGAGGAAGCAGTCGAGAAAAAGTCGAACATGATCGTTGCTTACCATCCCTTCATCTTCAGGGGTCTCAAGTCCATCACATCCAAAGACCCTCAACAAAGATCCCTTGTCAAATTGATCCAGAATAACATCAGCGTTTACAGTCCACATACAGCCGTTGATAGCGCCAAGGGTGGTGTCAATGATTTTTTGGCTGATGGCATTTCACAGAACTTGAAGGTCAAATCTCGCCAAGTCATTGAACCAAATCCTGAGGAGGAAGGCTGTGGAATGGGCCGCCTTATAGAACTTGAAGAGCCCGCATCCCTAGCAAAGCTTGTTGACAACGTCAAGCTGTCTCAATCCCTCAAACACGTCCAAGTTGGTGTTGGTAGAAACTTGGCCAAAGACCATCCAGTGAGCACAATTGCCATATGTGCTGGATCTGGAGGTTCCGTTTTCAGAGGAGTGAAAGCTGACTTATACTACACCGGTGAATTGTCACACCACGAGGCGTTGTTTTTTACTGAAAGTGGTTCCTCGTTGATCGCTTGTAACCATTCGAACACCGAGAGAGCTTTCTTATCTGTCTTGAAGAAGCAGTTGGAGCAAGAGCTTCCAGAGGCAGAAGTGGAGATCAGCGCCAAAGACAAAGACCCATACGAGGTCTGGTAAGCTCGAGCAAGATAGAGATTTATAGGAAAGAAAATTACACTCTGTCTAATCATCGCCAAACGTAAATGCTATAAAACTAACGATCTCCAGTGAAGAAATGCCAGACCGAACTGATGCCATCATCTACTGCATCGGCGACATCGTCAACAAGTTGCTTAACATCATCGAGGATACCACCCTTCTCCTTTTCCTTTTCCTTTTCCTTCTCCTTCTCTTTTTGCTTCTCCTTCTCCTTTTGCTTTTGCTTCTCCTTCTCTTTTTCCTTCTGTTTCTCTTTCTCCTTCTGTTTCTCTTTCTCCTTCTGTTTCTCTTTCTCCTTCTGTTTCTCTTTCTCCTTTTGCTTCTCTTTCTCTTTGTCGTGCTCGTCAGATTCATCATCGGAGTCACTATCTGAGTCTGAGTCTTCAGAGTCTGAAGTTGGTTTGCTCTTATCAGTGGTTGTTTGTTCAAAATCGCTGGGCTTGGGAAGGGATTCTGTTGAAAGGTCTTTTAGCATAGAATCCTCGGATGACAAGCTCTCCTGTGGCTTTGTATTTGAACTTATCGATATTGTTGTCATTTTGGTGCGCCCACTTGGCTTTCGCCAAAGCAAATCATAAGTGGCATCTTTTACAATGTGTTCAACCTCATATGGCAACCCTGGATACACCAGATTGTCACTCCAATCACTTGGCAAAAGCTTGTTTGAGGAGATAACAAAATCGTCGTTCAATGTTCCATTGTTTGGAGAAGGTTTGATATCAAGCGATTCACATAAGATATTGTAAACATTGGTGTTGGGGAAAGGAAGCACTTTTTTGTTATCTGAAAGCTTCTCCTTAAAAAATGGACCTCTGCCTAAAAAGATGGCCCTCATGAGAATGTCGGTGTTGTTGTAGCCATGTACACCCTTCGGGGTGTAGTTTTCACCCTTCTCTTTAAACTGCTGCTTAGTCGTGATTGCATAGCCTGTATTGGGCACAATCCAAATGGGAGCTAAGCGGTAGTTGAATTTATGATCTTCGAGCTTCCCTCCAAAATTCCATTCCTTTGGAAAGTCCTCCACTTTATAATAATTAAAACCCTTCTTTGTTTTTTCATCAATCTTCTCGAACTTTTCCTTGATCTCATTATAAATCTCATCCACTGAGTGATCCTTATTAGGTCTCAACCCAAAAAGCGGCCATCCATCAATATGTGCGAGCTTTGAAAGGTCTACCACATCATCAAGGAAAAGAAGTCTGTCGTTAGATGTTGGAGCCATTCCGTGGTCACTTACAACGACCAAGTTGACGATGTCATTCAAGTTTCTGCTTTTGATTTCCTGGATCATCAAGGCCACGAAGTCGTCCACGTATTTGAGTGCTTCAACAAGATTGGGCCCACTGATGCCGAATTTGTGACCATACTGGTCGATCGTGGGCACATAAGTCATGATGAGCTCTGGCCGTGATTTGATGTCCTCACGGTCAATCCACCCCATTACTCTGTCGATCTTAGACGTCAATAACTCCGTGCCGTTAAACTTGTCCACTTCCATTGGCCCATTTTCACCTATACCTGGAACTTCGCTTCCGGGCCACATGTGAACCGCCGACTTCACCCCCTGGTTGAATGCAGTGGTCCAGATCGCCTCGCCGCCCCTCCAGAAATCAGGGTTGAGACCCTTGGAAGGATCAGTATTGACAAACTGTTTCTCCAACTTTGGGTCGAAGAAGGTGTTACCCACAATTCCGTGCTCAGAAGGGTAGAGCCCCGTTATAAGGGTCCAGTGATTGGGAAAGGTTGAGGACGGGAATGATGGAGTCATGTATGGTGCACCGTAATCGTTCACCATCATCCCATGAAGAGCGGGGGTTCTCTGAGGAGAAATGTAGTGTGGGTGAAAACCGTCAAGCGAGACAATTATGGTTGTAGGGTAAAAGTCATGAGTGCTGTTAGAGAGAACACGTTTTCCCTTATCAAACGTATGCGTCTTTTTATCGGAATCCTCGCCCAGTTTAAGAAATGCATAGGAAAGCCACATCAAGAATAGTAGAGCTGTGAAGGCCAATATGCCCCAGTTCACCATCTTACGGAGTCGAGCGGCTTTGCGTTCCCTCATCTTCTTAGCCACAATGTCTTCATCAGTACCTTCGCTATCTTCATCGCCGATTTCAAAATCATCGGAATTCACGCCGCTCGTGTTCACCATTTCGTAGGAGCCAGGCTTGTACGAATCAGGTCCGTTGAAGTATTCCTGAATTCTTCTCCAGAACCGCTGAGGTCGGCTGTCAACATTTTCGTTTTCGTAGTCTAGGGGTTCTAGAAACTCAGAGTCATTGCCTTCGTTGTTGAAAATATCGTCTTCAGGATCATCTAGATCTTGAATTGGCACATCCACTGCATGTGGCCTTCCGTGTTCCACTGGCATGTTGTGGTAAGTAGTAACTAGGGATCCAGATAACCTGCGCGCTATGGCATCGATATGCACCTATCGGTGCCAACTGATATGGACCAATCGCTTTTAATTATACGGCATAAAGTTTAATTAGGGTAATGCTTTACTTTTATTGCTGTCTATGAATTTCTTCAAAATTTCATCATCATCTATGTGGACCTTTGTGGACGCTGTCAAAAATGGTGCAGGGTCCTATTGCATGCCAAGTAGTGTCCTGGAAGCCACAAACCTAAATCCTCACTACTGACTCGTGGTCTCTCTTTTTCGCCATACCCATGTAGACCTTGACTCTGAGCTTCATAAGCTGGTCAGGAGAGAGGTCCCCTTCAGTAAGATATGCATCACAACCCGTCACCGGACAAGCGTACCTGTCTCTCGTGCCTCTAATCTGGCGAACGATATGATGCCTTTCAAACACGTGGGAGCATTTCTTCGAAACCACGGGATCCGTAAAGTAGTTCATTGAGAGTGGATCTTTCAAGGATATCTTTCCTCCCTCCACAGCCAACTCCTCGTCAACCGTTTCCTCTTGCAAGGGATCCTCAGGGAACTGTAGAACAAAAAAGGAGTTTCTTATGAAATTAAAAGAAGGGTCACGGTGTAGAAGCTCCTCGAACCGTGCACCCAGCTTCTCCCTGATGATCTCGTCTAGATCATCGCTGAAACCGTCGGCAAAGTTCTTTCTCACAAGCTCCTTGCACGATTCATAGTTTGAAAGCGTGAGCTCTAGAGTACTTCGGCGGTTTTCAACTAGCTCCCTGTGTGTGTTCTTCAAGGCCAGCTGAAGAGCTTGGAGCTTGGTCTTGGCGAGATATAGCTTCTCAAACGAGCTCAGGATTTGCTCAGAGTAAACTTTGAAGCTTGAATTCGACACAAGCTGAGGGTTTGAGCTGGCATAGTCGATGAATGACTCGGCACTGCTTTTGATATTCAGAAGCTGCTCCTCGATCTCTCGTAGTAGGAGCAAACTGCCAAACTCCGTATTTGGTTTTACGCTTGGATGAACGGGAATATAGCTCGGGAATTCCTTGAAGTTCGGTAGACTTGCTGGTGCCTCTGTTGAGCTCATTTGATGTGATTTGATGGTGTAGTACGTGAAGTAAATACTGGAGCGCGCTTGACTATGTAGACTAATTAGATCCAAGAGTCAAGCCAAACGTTAGCAAGTATTACCATAAAATAATAGTCTTTAGTGAAAGCGCTACAAGTCGTTTTGTTATCCGTAAATTTCCTGTCTAATATAAAAGAGAAGTAAAAGTCTATATCGTTACACCATTAAAAAACATCACCCTGGGCGAACATAGCGTCGGCAACCTTGATGAAACCGGCAATGTTGGCACCCTTCAACAAGGATGGCAAGCCAGAAGCGTCCTTGTCAACAGAGTACTGAACAGCAGTGTCGTAACAGTTGTCGAAACAAGTGTACATGATGTCCTTCAATCTGGCGTCAACCTCCTCCTGGGTCCAGGTAACTCTCTGGGAGTTCTGGGCCATCTCCAAACCGGAAACGGCAACACCACCACAGTTGGCGGCCTTACCTGGAGCGTACCAAACACCCTTGGATCTGTTGGCTTCGAAGACGTCGATGGCCTCCTTGGTGGAACCCATGTTAGAGCCCTCGGCGATGTAGGCACAGCCAGCGTCAACCAAGGCCTTAGCCTCCTCACCAGAAACCTCGTTCTGGGTGGCAGATGGCAAGGCAACGTCAACCTGACCAACGTGGGTCCATGGACGGGCACCGGCAATGTACTCAACCTTGTTGTTACCGGAGAATGCAGAAGCGCTGTCAGAGATGATCTGCTCCAAAGTTCTGAACTTGACCTTGGCAGCGGCGATGGCCTCAACCTGCTCTGGGGTAATACCGTTTTGGGAAATGATGGAGCCCTTGGAGTCAGAGAGGGAGACGACAATACCGCCCAACTCGATGACCTTCAAGGCGGCGTACTGGGCAACGTTACCAGAACCAGAGATGGCGACTCTCTTGCCCTTGAAGGATTCCTTACCGGAGGTAGCCTTCTCAATCATCTTCTCGACGTAGTAGACAGTACCGTAACCGGTGGCCTCAGGACGGATCAAAGAACCACCCCAGGTCAAGCCCTTACCGGTCAAGACACCAGTGAAGTTGTTCTGCATGGACTTGTAAGCACCGAAGAGGAAACCGACCTCACGGCCACCCACACCAATGTCACCGGCTGGAACGTCAGTGTCGGCACCAATGTATCTGGCCAACTGTCTCATGAAAGCGACACAGAATCTTCTGATCTCGGAGTCGGTTCTGTTTTTAGGGTTGAAGTCGGAACCACCTTTACCACCACCCATGGAGAGGCCGGTCAAGGCGTTCTTGAAGATCTGTTCGTAACCCAAGAACTTGAGGATGGACAAGTTCACGGTTGGGTGGAATCTGAGACCACCCTTGTATGGGCCCAAGGCGGAGTTGAACTGGACTCTGAAACCGTTGTTGACCTCGATTTCGCCCTTGTCGTTCTCCCAGGCCACTCTGAACTGGATGATTCTCTCTGGCACCGACACCACTGGGATGACCTTCTTGTACTCAGGCTTCTCGGTGAAGAGAGTGGAGTCCTCGAGGGCGGACAACAACTCGTTGTAAGCTTGCTGGAATTCGGGTTCGTGAGGGAGGACCATTGTTAGTTTTTTAGAATAAAGAAGAATGAAAACCGGGGAAGTGTCGTGACTTTATATGTCCCTGGGCATCTCCTCCTGCACTGCTTGTGATGCTTCCATCACTGCGCGCTTGAGTCAAGATCCTGCATCGGCGGCTGCATCATCCAGATCTCTGGCCAATGAGCGCTCACCAGGTCACGAGTCACCGCCCCAGCCCTGTTCTTTTGCCTTGACCGCGCGCTATCAGTGACAAATCAAACCCTCAGTGGCCCCGGCTTTTTTTTTTCTCTGCGGAACCGGTCCGCCTTATCGACCACTGAGCTTGACTCCGAATCGGCTCTTCCAGCATGGACCACAAAACAGTGGGAAAGTAAAGTTAGGCCGAATTGCAGCGGGTTGGTGCCTAAAACGAAAGATAGGCCAATTCCCAAGGCCCGTGGGGCGACCCATGGGTTCCCCCATTTCGGAGAATCGTAGGCTGACGGCAGTGGCTGATGGCTGCAAACCATCTGAGCACCGTTCCCACTTTTGCCTCTGCCCACGGCCTGCCGACTCTTTCCGAGAATTCTTACATGCCACGCTTTTTACTCTGATTTTCATCGCATTCCCGTTTGACTTTTCTCGTCGGCACCGCCGTTCCTCGTCCATGGCCCTCCAGTAAGCCCGAGTTCACCCGGCCGGCACACCGTCTTCGCAACGAACACCCCCAAAAAAGGAATTGCGATTCCACCGGTGCGCCGACCCGGCCCGTACCGCACCACTTTGCCGTACACCTACTGCCACCTAGAGGGCCCATATTGGTCGATAGCACTGAGCCAACCCCACCATTCATGGTCCAGCGATTGGCCGAAGGCTAGCGATAAGAAGTCCGTCAACCGTATCGATTGTCCAGGGGATTTGTCCAGTGGATTTTGTTTAATCGTTTGGTTTTATTATTGGTTTTGCTTTTGCTTTTGCCTACGTCGCCTTTGCTTGGTCTGTGTGGTTTCTTTTCTTCCAGCTCAAGGCGAAAATGAGGTGGTGTCTACCACCTGTATTTCTGTTGTGGTGCCCCTGCTTTAGACCGCGGCTCGCGCTGCATGCCACTTTTAGTCTCCAACTAAAGTCTGTTGGCTATACTGTATTTTAGTCAGATTAGCCTACTTTCTTAAATCTCTTTCTTAGATTCGCTCAAACCTTATTGGTCGCTTCGCTCGGTAGAGCTGTTGTTGGTTTTGGGTGGCACTCGCAACGTCATGGTGCATTTGCAACCGAGGGTCCTTGGCATCTCACAATGCAACAACAATAGGCTTCAGGGTGTTTTCGGGTGCAACATCACGGCGTCCTTGCCTAGGAGAGGAATTTCTTTATCTACTGAGATGAGTTGGCATTGTTAGGCTTTCGGCTATCGAGGGTAGATGTCTTGTGCTAGACGCCGCCGTTGTGTGAGGCTTTGCAGCGCAGGGGAAGCGATGGATCTGGATTTTTCACCCGGGCCTTGAATCGACGCCAGCAATCGACACCAGCAGTGAAGTCGTCAACTTATCTTGAACCAGTGCTAAGCGGTGATAGAAAGCTTAGATGATTTTTTGTAGAGAAAATAAGTAGCTTAGGCATCGACGGTAATGTGCTTGCTTGTGTTGATGTACTGATACAACCTTCCAATACCAGAAGCTCTACAGCTTAAATATGGCTCTTAGTCGATAATGCATCGATTACTGTCTTTCCTCTACGCCATCTGTCTCATGCTTTATGTGTTCGCCTTGCGGCACTATTTACACGATTTCATTTCTCCTCCGCCTTGGGCTGCTCAACTTTTACCTCTTCGATCTTCTTCTCCTCCACGTCCGTAGCAACATTGATGCCCTTGTTGCTCGTCTCTCCAAAATTGTACACTCTCATCCTCAGAATCACTCTAGGATCAACCTCAAGTGGCTGCACCCACTCACTGTTCTTCTTCTTGCCTCTCTCAATCCACTTTCTTGGCCAGTCCATCTCCTCCTCAGCTCCCAAGAAGCTATCCAAGTTCTGGAATGGTCGGCTCTCACTGTAGACAACCTTCTGTGCGTGTTCAGCGACTTCCGCAGCAAGGTATCTCTTGGTGTAGTATCTATAGATCTTTGTGGGCATGTTCATGATACCGGAAAGCTTTGGCACGGTAAAGACACCCACAGGCTGCTCGAACAAGACGGGGACGTTTTTGTCGTTGAGAACAACCTCGTTCATGTTGAGCTCTGGCGCCAACTGGGCGTTGGCATAATCGGCGGGCAGAATGAATGGCTTGGGCACAGGCGGGAGCTCTTTTCTGCGAGTGTGCAGCCCAAAGTCCTCAATTTCGTCGGGAGTATCTTCCTTCTTTTCAGTCTCAGTAGCAGTCTCTGTGCCGCTTGCCTCGGAGCTTGCAGTTTCGGTGTCGAGAGCTTCTTCGATCTTCTTCACCTCTGGTGGAGGTGCTGGAGCTTCCAAAGGTCCGAGAAGACCCTCGTGCACGCCTGTCATGTACTCTTTGTAAGTACCTCTTCCAATGCAAAGAACACCACCAGATAAAAGGAGATCTTTCGAGTCGTCTCTTTCTGGCTCTATGGGCTGGACCACCTTGTACAAGCCTAGAAGATCGGCTGGGGTGTACAATTCATGACGGCTGACGAAAACCTCTGGCTCCTCTGGCTTTTTACGCAAGCTCTTGAATGCATTAGGAACACCCTCCTTGAAGAATTTAGTCCATGACTTGTCGTATGCTTCCTGCTTGATCTTCTCCTCCTCCTTTATCTTCGCTGCTAGCTTCTCTCTTCTCAACTGTCTAATCTTGTCTGCAACCTCATGACGAATGTCGCCCTGTCTCTCCTCAGTGAAGATGGTAAAGTCAATAGCAGCGGCATTCAAAACAGGCTTGATGTATTTTCTGAAATGCTTCAATGACTCCTGAAGGAAATCGTTCGGTGGAGGTGCGATGAAGATGGTGAGCCTTCTTGGGACTCTTGTGGTGTTGTAGAGCTCCTCGCCCAACTTCTCAACTTCAGCAGTATACTTGTTACGAACCTGCTTCTGCTGGTACTTATCGTAGGCAATACCTCCTGTGACACCGGCCAAGACGGTCCAGAAGATCATCCAGTTTCTCGATGGAAGCAGGATTCTGGGGATACCCATTGCCCTCAAGGCTGGGTTGGACCATGACTTTTTCTTTGGGGCCTCTGTGGCACCAGCCTCAGGCTTGACCGTTTTTTCCGGTTTTTCTGGCCCTTCTGACATATCTATTTGCCCGATGTGTAGCTGAGCGTTATGTGCTAGAAATCTTTTCGTGCGTGTGAGCACCAGTGAATCACCAATGTAAGAGAGGTCCACAAACCGGGGTGATTTTTGTTAATGGAGTTCAAAAGTGGTTTGCAAATTATGTTGTAGGGTAAATTTAAGAGCTTGGTTGTATTTCACTGTGGTTTTCGAATTTTTATGAATCGATCATGATGAGCGGTTTTGGGTAACCGGCCTAGTTTGCATAACGGTTGCAAAATTATACGCGAGCTTGTGAATTAGGCCGAAACTAACTATATATACTTATGCAACTCGTCCTCCAATGCCTGCTTGTCAAGGCCCTTACCTATGAACACGATTTTATTATTTTTGATACTCTCGTGCAATTTGCCGCCTTCAATCACCTCGTAAGTGTCCCGAACGCCTTGAACAACTCTAACGTCGTCCTTCCACACCAACACTCCTTTCGTTCTGTGGATTTCGACAGAAACACCGTTTGCTTCATTCTCCCAAAGTACATGTTGAAGATACTTCTCCACCTTATCGAACCCTGAGTTGTCACTGAAAAATGGAAAGTCTATCGTGAGAGTCTGTATCCTGTCATCGTGATAAGACGAGCTGGTGGCCAAACTCACCAGATTGGCGAGCTTCTCGCTTGAAGCCTCAAATGCATGTAGATCTAAGATTTTATCCAAATCGATATCTCCATAGGAGGTTGTATGGATGGGGGATGAAGAGTTGATGTCACGGACCCTACCGCAAATCTCCTCTAGTTTACTCTTATCGCCCTCAATGGTGTCAATCTTGTTAATCAAAATGGTGTCAGCGAGGGCTAGCTGAAGATGTGCTGTACTGATACCCTCATCCAACATCTTCCTCTCCTGCTCTTTCTTTTCAGGACTCACATCCTCATCGTCGTCCTGAAGGACATGCTTGTTTGCTCTGTGCCAGTGGCCGCCAATGTCATCAAGACATTGAGTTATGTTTGCGGCGTCAACCACGGTGATCACTCCATCAATGTAGACACTAGCAGCAAGAGCATCGTCCAACCAGAACATCTCGGCAATTGGCGCTGGATCTGCAATGCCGGTAGTCTCCAAAAGAATGTAGTCAATCTTGTCACCGGAGTTCTCAATGAGGTTCTCGATCGCCATCACACCATTATCCTTGACGGTGCAGCAAAGGCATCCATTACCTAGATCTAGCCATTCCTGAACACTCTCGTTCTTCTCGGAATCCTTGATCGTGACCGACTTTTCAATGGCAGCAGAGTCACCAAATTCATTCAATATAATGGCCAATCGCTTGTTGGACTTGCGGCCGATCATCTCTAGTAGGGTCGACTTTCCAGATCCCAAGTACCCAGTCACGATCGTGATGGGTAACTTGCTTTTCACCTTCGATGGTTTCTGTTCATATTGAGTTGTGTCTTGCTGAGTAGCCAAATACTCTGGCTTGGTGACAAAAGTCTCGTCGAGCTCAGTGACCAACTCTGGTATATCGTCGTCCATGGTTCTTTCTGTGGGGATGTTCATCGCGCACTATCTAAGAGATCCGATTGTGAAGCACACAGGCCAGTTTCCTGGAAGAACTGAATATTTTGCAAATTTACATAGAAGTGTGGATCTGTTTTTTAAGATCATCATTGAGGTATGCGTCCAAAGATTTGGGTTGTAAATTTCACTTGGGCAGTTGTAGGAATGGCTGCAAATCTCGAACGATTATGGAAGCTGTGCCACTAACTCTTCATGTCGAGTAAAGCAGTGCCTATGCGGAGAAGACTCATTTTTTAGAAGAGTTGAATTAGACTGTCAGCTTTGGTTTCTAGCAAGACTATCTAATCGAGCCAATTAACTCAGTCCCAGCACTTCATTTCACAGTCTACGTAGAAATATAACACTGAAAACAGATTTTATGAAGTCACTTAAAAGCAATTGAATACTTTTTTAAGTCTTAGAGTATGTTATTGAGAAAACTTCCTAATCTTTTGGCCTCGTCTACTGGTTGCTGGGACTGCAGTCCGGTTAGGCGAGCGGCACCTACTGCACAATTTGCTCCACATATTCCATCAACCACTCCAAGATGAAGTTCGTTTATTTCTTGGACTTGTTGTTGGTGGCAGCGGTATTCTACCACCTCTGGAACGCTCCATTCTCAAAAGTCGAGGAGTCTTTCAATATCCAGGCGATCCATGATATCGTCAATTACGGTGTCCATCCAGACCAACTCAAGAACTATGACCACCAGATATTTCCTGGCGTGGTTCCAAGAACTTTTGTTGGAAGTTTGATTATTGGAGGCATTGTGAAGGCCATTGACTACGGCCATACATTGGTTAAAGGCGTGCCTTTGGTAGTGAAGGACGGAGACAGCCAGCTTGTCGTGCAATATGTGGCTCGAGGTGTACTTGGATTGGCCAACGTCTTCGGCTTGTTGAAGTTGAGAAACAGTATTAACAAGGTGGCATTTATCGAAAAGAATGCTAAGACTAGAGGAGCTATTGGCGTTTTCTACACTTTGTTCTTGATTGTCCAATTTCATGTTCCTTACTACAGCACCAGAACTTTGCCCAACTTCATTGCCTTGCCTTTCGTCACTTATGCTTTTGGTAAGCTCATTGAAGGAAATTTGGCGGGATTGACCTGGTTGGCGTTCACCGCCGTGATCTTCCGTGTCGAAATCGGTGTTCTTGCAGTCACCATTTCGTTCATTTCATCTCTCGGTTTCGGCCAGTCAGATATCCAAATCAACCTGTACTTCTTGGTGGTGGGAACTGTGGTCGGAGTTCTTGTCACTGTGCTTGTGGACTCCTACTTCTGGGGCGAATGGGTCTGGCCTGAGCTCGAGAGTTTCATGTTCAATGTGGTCAATGGCAATTCTTCCGAATGGGGCGTCGAGCCTTACGGTGCTTACTTCAAGAAGTACTTATTGAACTTCTTCCGCCCTCCCCACATCTTGTTATTGGTAGTCTTGGGTCTTCTGGTCGATCCAGCCAATGACGGAACTCCAACAAAGGTCACCGACGATAACAAATTAATCGTCACACACCCAGCCAGAAACTCGCTCAGAATTTTGACCATCTCCTCCGTTCTTTTCATTGCTTTCATGTCCAAGCAGCCTCACAAAGAATGGAGGTTTATCGTTTACACTGTCCCAATCTTCACTTTGCAAGCCGCCAATGGCCTTGCCAATGTGACGAGGAAGTGGTCAACCCTGTTTGCTCATAAATTGTTGTTGTTTATTATGCTTGCAAGTACTGGTGTTTCGGTTGTCTATACTCTCATGATGAGCTATGCTTCAAGTTTCAATTACCCTGGTGGCGAGGCTATCACATTCTTGAACGACTACATTGTTCATTCCAAGGCAAACGAAAATGTCTTTGTGCACATGGATGTGGCATCTTGCATGAGTGGAATCACAAAATTCACAGAATTACACACACCAAACGTGGTATTTGACAAAACTGAAGAACTTGAAGAATTGTCTCGTTTGTGGAATAATTTCACGCATATCATCACCGAGGTGGACATGGACAAGCCAAGAAAGGAGGAGACTCTCATCAAGTATGACCGCACTCATTGGAAGAAGTTGAAGACGGTTAATTCCTTCACCAGAATTAATTTCTTCCCTTTCATGTACACTGTTCAGCATATTCAACGGTTCCAAGCACTTCCCGCGGAACTTTCTCCTGCTGGAACAGCAGGTCCTCGGGAATACAAGGATAAAGTGTTGAAGTTTCTCAGAACTACAATCGAGACAAGGAGCTACTTGTATGTGTATGAAAGAACCCAGCAGGATGCTATTCCTGTTTATCTTAATTTGGAAAGTGATGAACAAGCAAAGGCCACCGAGGAGCCCCCAATTGACCAGCCTCCTCCAGTTGACGCTGATGCTGTCAAGGATGCAATTAACGAGGAGATCGATAGCTTCGAGGATGCTTATGAGACTGCTATCAATAATTAATTTAGGAAACGCTATGAGCGTTAAATGAACGAGACGCATTTTCGAGACGCTCCTTAAGCTTTACAGCAGGAGATCCGCCTGCTCCACCTGTAGACTCGCTGTTTGGAATCACCAACGGTCTAAATCTCTTGAGTTTCTTTGCTGTGCTAAGCACAGTATCATCAATATCTGCCAGTGGGAGCGGAGATGGAAGCTTCTGGTACCCCCTAGGCTCGAATGGTGATGAGGTTGCCTTTGGTGACGCTTCCAAGATTCGCTCGAACTGAGGAGCGGGTGGTCTCGAGGGAAGACCTGAATAATTAGTTTTTGGCCGAGGGGGTGACAAGCGAATTGTCGAAATATCTTGAAGCCTTAGGGATGATAATTTCCCACCTCCACTTCTTTTAGATTTAGCCTTTCTGTAATGATTAATCAATGCATCAATTTTGTCTGAAGTCATTTTCATATTGGTATCCAATCTTGTCGGACTCGTCCTGCGAATCTTAGATGATGGCGTGAAAGGAATGCTAGAAACCTGCTTCTTCACAGGGGTATGTAAGTAGCTGTGTCCCTCGAGAAAGCTTCCTCGTTTCTTTGCAAGCGGAGACAAACTACTGAAGAAGACGCTGGTATCCGCTTCCACATAGTCATCCTCCTGTTTCTCTTCGGTGTACTCCCTATGAAGTGCCTTGAATCTCCACACTTGCAAAAGCGACCTTGCCTTAGACGCATTCCATTTCTCTTGAAACATAGTACACGTCTGCAAATTTCGCTTGTAAGTTTTGATGTACTTTAAGTTCCATTTTTGAAGATACTCAAGCGAAGTTGCATAGCTCTTCTGGCTCAATAAGTCGTCCGCTAGTTCCTCAAGATAGTTAGACTTTATCAAGAGTTTCTCATACCAGAGCACCATCACTTTTTTGTGGAGCACCGCATCATGAAATTCGAGACTCATGGCATGATGCTCTTGGTAGCGCAGAGCCTTGTCCTTCCAGTGATTGAGTACTGGTGCGAGAGCTGGGCTAGCCGTATTGTGCTGCTGAAGTAGAAGATTCAATTTCTTCCTTCTTGCACTGATTTTGGCACGTTCATTTTGCCAGTGTTTCATAAATATTGACAAAGTCCGCTTATGTCTTACCCTTTCATGGAAGTTATCAACAGCTTCATTTGCATACGCCTCGAATCTCGAGACAATTCGATTCTGCCAAAGTCTGATGTGGAGCTTCGCCGAGTACCTATCTTTGAACAGAAGACCGTTTTCTCGGAAGTTGGCAGCTAATTGTAGACACTTGTTGGCTTCCGACGTTTTTTCTTTCCATCTCAAGAAGTATTGTCTTTCGAAGTTGAGCTGGGCAACAAGCCTTAACTCCTCATGCATGTCCATTCTTGATTTCCAAAGAGCTAGCGTAGCGTTTTGAAGACTCAATTTGGCAATGTGAGAAGCTTGTGTCTCATTCTCAGAGTGAATGACATTCATGGACTTCCACTTCGAGAACGCTCTCTCAAGTATCCTTTTTGAGTCAGAATCAGCGAGATCTTTCGATAGCATCTTCAATCTCCAAGCTTTAAGGTATATGGTACCCAACAGAAGGTCAAGACGAGAATTCTTCTTCTTATGAGCCAATTTCCAGTTTTTCATTACACGCCCGAGTAGGATTTTTCTTTGATAGCCAGAAGCTTGCACCCTGTGGTTCTTGTGTTGCGACCAAATTTGGAGTGCCGATCGGGCGAAATTTCGGTCTTGCTTCGCTTCCCACTCGTTTTGTAAGCCCTTCAACATAAAGCTTCTCCTCCAACCATGGAAGAAAAATGCCTTCGTATTATTGGAATTAACACGAGAGCACTTGGAGTACGTTTGAAGCAAGCGCATTTTCTTGTGCCAAATGTTAAAATGTTTGCTTGACGTGTGTCGAGTTTCGATTTTGTTAAGGGCGATCAATTTTTTACTCAAAACAAAGTCCTTGGTGCTTCCCATGCTTCGAGTTGCGGAGCGGTTGGAAGAGTCCAACAGTCTATGCCACTTTCGAATAACGTTTTGCAAAATTATTTTGTCACACTTTTTGTCGACTTTGCGGTTGATCGCTAGCGCTTTCCGAACGTTGTCTTCGTAATGCTTATGCTTTTCTTTGAGCTGATTGAAACATGCTCCTGCAAGGTTTCGATCGTAGAACTCTCGCAGCTTGCGATTCATCTGAGAGCGTCTTTCAGTTCGAGCCCTCCATGCGAAAAGCCTATTCTTCATTACAAACCTTTGACATTGATATTCCAAGTCACCCACATGTATCAATTTTGGTATCCAGAGATCTTTGAGTACCCTCGCAAGAAGCTTTTTGCCACTATAATTCTCCGCTTGCGATATCAACATCAGCAGTCTCATGAACTTATTATACCACATATTGAACCTCGAATTGAGGATCTTCAGATCTCTTTCAAGTGAATTCTGGAAAAGCTTTGAGCCGAGATGAATAGCAGAAATCGTTCTATTATTCCACTTACGAAACACTTGTTTCGTGATCTCATAGGAGGATGACCAGATTCTATTCGCCAAGCGCATGAGTATTGTTGAATTATGATATTCGGAGGTCAAAAACCCCTGTTGGTAATGTAGACGATCGATAATCGATAGAACCAGGTCGCCATTCATATCCTCGTTCGCCTCATACTCGGCAATTTGGCCGACAAGATTAGTTAACTCCTCAACATACTTATAATCAGCCAAACAAGCCAAATCGGTATACTGCTCATACACAAGAAGGGCATATTGTTTGAAAATCTGAGGCAATTGAGGATGGAACTGAGGGTCATACTCGTTGAGGAGGTTGACAACGGTGCTCAAATTAGATAATATTTCACCAAACTCGTGCTGCAGAAATCCCTCAGAGACCAGAGTCTCGGCAATACCAGCGAGTTCGTGATCGGACTCATCGCCTTTGACTAACGATGGACTATCAGTTGGGAATTCAACGGAATCTAAAATCGATTCAGCTTGCTGAATGTACTGACTTGGTACGATTCCAGACAATTGCTCTGAGCCGAGAAAGAATTCATAAAATAGTTGAAGCTGTTTCTCTCTATTCTCGAACGACTCAATCTCCATACACTCGATGCCATGATGCTTCTCGAGCATCAGTAGTAAGATTCTTACCAAAGAGGGGACACTGCTGTAAACCGAAGTCTCTGATTTGAGAAGTGTGAGATGTAAGACTGCTTCGTACGCCTTGTTAAACGCTTCATCGTCACATGTGAAGTTTAAAAGCCCTGTCCTAGACGCTGGAGGGACAGTGTACTCAAAAATTGAGTCACTATCTGATCCCGTACTTTTGTTTAGTAGCTCATCTAGCACAGAGGCAAGCTGTTGTGTCTCATCTGTGGTTTGTTCCACCTTTCGATCAAGGTTTTTCGCTGTGGTATACTCGTGTATCAAACACTGACCAAGAAACTCTGCTAAATGGTCCTTGGAATAGCTGTATATCTCCAGAGCCAGCTGTATATATCGACAAAGCTCCTCGACAATTGCCGTGTAGCTCTCCTTGACGTATCTAGGCCGGCCTTTATCAATAGAAGTTGTGGATAATGCTTGTAGTAGGTGATCGAAGTACGAGGAGCCATGAGAATGTGGTTCATACTGTGCCAATTCTTGAATATTCGGTTTTTCATTCGCCCTTTGAGGTTTGCAATAGCAGGTCAAGGTCAAGGCAGGGAATTGGGACGTGTAGATTGTTATCTTGATTCTATGTTTATGTTTCAAGCCAACCAACCGTAGGACGTCTTCGACAACTTTTTTAAAAAGTGAGTGGAATTGTGCTTCTCCATTTCGTAGGTCTTGAAGCAGATGGAGATCCCTGACTAGGTGGTAGACTTGGGTATCTTCTACCATGGCATGTCAGTGTTGATGTAGTAGTGATGCGCGGTCTGTTTGCATCAGTATTAGAGCCTGGTTACTCTGTCCGGGTCATACAAAAATTGTGTAATTTTGAAGAAAATAAGAAAATCCAAGTTCTTTAAAACAATTTCTACAAAAGACTTTGTTACGACAATGTAACTTTTTCTGCTCTCCAAAAGTTGGTCTCGAAACCTATGACAGCGTATTTGGTCCCGAGTGAGACATGGTTGCAAATGTGAATATGCGATTCACCAGGAAGCATAGGCACTATCCTATACAATAATCGGCAATTCTCATACATTTTCCAACCCGTTTATCCCAATCGCCTCTTCTCCTTTTTGCCTTTGCCGTGTTATCCCTTATCAGTTTGAAGCTTCTATATTTGGTCAGTCCTGTGCACAGAGGGTAAATACTACTGCAATCGAACTTCCTTCGGATCAAACTACACCTGTTCCATGTCGTGGGTACCGTCAGCTAGCGACCCCAATAGAAGGTCTGCAAGCCACGACATTCTGCGGATAAGGCCATCCCAGGCATACCATGATATCCAGGAACCCCAGAGAATCGTATCCGATGATGTGATGGCGAGGAACAGAGGTCTGCATTCTCCTTCGTCCTTGACCAGTTTTGGCGATAGTCTATATTCCCAAAGCAATGGGTCACAGAGGCCGAGCGTCGGAAGCTATCCCGTGAACTCAACATACGAGCCGGATTTTGAAATCCCGGTCAAACGTGAGTCTCAGTTCATGGAAACATTCTCACGTACCAGCAGTACCTGCTCCCGTCGAGTGGGTGTGAACGAGGAAGACCAGAAACCGTTGGAGAAACAACCGCTTTCAAATTCTGAAAATGTGCATTCTGAAAATGTACATTCTGAAAATGTACATTCTGAAAATGTCCCGTCGAATGTGAATCTGTTCAGCTTCAGCGAGGCTGACGAATCTGCAAGGGAGTTCCACTTTTCACCGAGACTTGCTTACGAAGATGAGCTTGAAAATGCCGACTTCGTGAGCATAAAGACCCTGCCAATGAGTCAGTCTGAGGATGAGACAAATACGATACAATCCTCGCTGCCTCCAAAGTCTCTTCAATCAGGGAACTCGAACTTGGTTGGCCTGATCATCGGCAAGTACGACTACAGTTCCAGTGCTTTGGCATTGAATCCTAGTATTGAGACAAGAGGCACTGCTGCATCATTGACTTCGGGATCAACTTACTCAAGTGGATCTCGTCCAAATTTCCAACCGGAGATTGATCAACAAAGAATGAGAGAGCCTGTCAAGGATGATATGCGCAGTCTGCAAGAGCTGAACGCCAGCAAACGTGGAGAGCATCTACGAAACAATTCGGCGTCATCTACGCTATCCACAACTTCAACATCATCCACCCTCACCAAGAGTAACAACCAGCAAAGGTTCCTCAGGTATGCAATGGGCGCCCACTCTTCACAACCAGCACTCAATCCGACTACGCGATGGCTGATGGACAATGTGATCTCCTGGCTAGACTTTCATAACTTCAATCCCTCGTGGAAAGAAACGTTCAGGAGAAATGAAATCTCAGGCAACCGATTCTTGGAACTTGGCAATTATGAATCATCGTCAATGGTCTGGAGACAATTTAGCAGAAGCCTACGTGTGGGTGAGGACAAGAGTGAAGTGGATAGGTTCATTCACTTGTTACGCTCGGAGCTCCATGATATCGAAAACTCCTCCACAAGCACTAGCTCTACCTTGGCTCCTCCTGAAATTGAGGTTCAAAAGCGGGCAGAGAATAGAAAGTCATCTGCAACATTATCAACACAGTTGTCATCATCTGTTCCCACCAAACCTCGCCCCTATTCCTACGTTGAGCCTTCAACCTCATCAAAGGCCAATCCAATAAGAGATTCGTCGCAATCACACGCCCACAAGTTTTTTAGGCTTCACCACAGAACCCCATCCACTGATTCGACAAAGGCAAATGCAAGCACTGCCAGTTTGAGTGGAGATGATCCAAGAAACTCAACTGGTCAACGAATGAGCGGTATATTCAGCTCAATCTGGAAATACAGTGGCGACAAGGCAGCTGGGATTGTCAAACAAGTGCACCCTAGCTCTGGGAGTTCTGGTGGGAGACAATCAAGTGGAAACAAGAGAAGTAGCTATGTCATGCCACAACATAGGCGAGCTGATCTGTCCAGCAAGAAGACTTCGTTCATGAACAGAGACTCACTATTAAGCTTGCAGCGTTCGCAAGATGATAGTACGCTTTCCCCAATATCTACGAATTCCACCGGGTTCCCTCCTTTTGAAGTCAACGAATCGTCTGCAGAAAGTGAACGCCTGCTCAGCGCAGAGATAAAGAAGGAAGTTATCGACGCTAGATACTTACCAGTACCGAAAGGCAGTCTTCAAGATGAATCGAAGCTTATTCTACTTTCCAAAGACAACGTTTCTTTCAAACCATTGAGAATCTATACAAAAGATCTTGACGATTTGGAATCATTGAAGAAGAGGATCTATAAATCATTGGATCTCCTCAGTTTTGGCCTCATAACCTTTCATCTTACTGACTATGATTGCATTCCCGGTGAGGCGATGAGCGACGACGTCATAGTTCAGGCTCTTCGACAAAATACGCTTTGCAAAATTCACATCCAGCAAATTGTGAACTCCCCAGGTACCAACACTATTTCAAGTACTTCATCAGATGCCAGATCCTTCGATCTCACTGGTGATAACAATGGACGGATGTATCCTGCCACTCCTCAATATCTATTGCAGGATGCTCGAGACAAGGGAATAGACTACATCAATTTCAAAGATCATGAGGCTTTCTCACAGATCAAGAATCCAAAAGATGCGAGAGGTCCTACAACCCCTTACCAACATCCACTCAAACTCACCATTCCCGTCAACAAGAGGCACAGCAAAAAGAATCTTCTCCAACCCAACAATAGCCTGCAAACTGGGCGTAAGGTCGAGTTCACTGACCTGGCTCAAGCTCTGCTTGCTCCAGAGATATCTGATACCTCTAAGAGCTGGAGATCTCCAGAAGCAAAACATCAAAATACTTTTGCTAAAGATGCTAATGCTGCTCTTTTGGAGGATAAGAACAGTCTTTCCACAAAGGCGATACGCTCTGCCATCTTTAGAGAGGGTGCTACCAAGGCCGCCTCCAGGGCTTCTTCGCTGGGTCTGGAGTATGAGAGGTCTAGCAGTTTCATTGCAAAGCGAAAGGCCCCTCCTCCTCCAACAGGCTCAGTAAGATCTAGAACTCTACTGGGTGCTTCAGTCCTGCCAGCATTATCTCGCAGCAGTAGCGGAAGACGTATAACATCCAAGCTGGCCTCGCTTCGTAAGCAGGAAGAAGAGGCAAACGCATTTGCAGAACACGAATTCAGCTTCGACGATGCACCATCATTTTCACCAGCATCAGCAAAACCACCCCAAACCCAGGAGGTACCAGCCGTTGACACGAACGAAGATTCTGACAATGACGACTTTTTCGTTAAACCAATGTCTCAAAAGAAGAGCCTGGCTGAGACGACAGTCGAAAGCGATGACGAGGAAGACTTCTTCATGAAGCCCACGAAGAATAGTCAAAGCGCCGAATTGAGAGAGATGAATGTGAGACCACCCGTGGAAGAAGTTTACAATAATCTTGAGAAGTATTTCCCCAACACTAATCTTGATAAGCCGATTATTGACGCTTCCCCTGATTCTCCTGTTGCCCAGGTCATCAGTCCCAAGAGATCATTCCCTACACAGAGAAAGGAATCCATTTCTAGGACGTTTTCTAACGCAAACAATTCGCCAATTAATCCTCCCAACGACGAGGATGGAGTGATTCCTGTTGAAAATGGAGGTAAGCCTTTCAAGAGAATGAAGACCATTCGTACGGTTGCCAATGAGGCACGTAACAAGCGTTTAGCTGGTCAAAGAGCCAACAAAAAGTTCCCCGATCCTCCAGCCAAAAGCCCGGATGAAAAGAGCTCAGGTCTGCTTCGTAGATCGAATACGAAATTGTGGGGCCAGAAACTCATCGAAGTCACTTCGGCAGAGATCGAGAAGGGTTTCGTCAGTCGTATAAGATCAAGCGCAAGCTCTAAATTTGAGGAGTTTGCTTGGATAAAGGGTGAGCTTATCGGAAGAGGTTCTTTTGGATCTGTCTACTTGGCACTTAATGTGACTACCGGTGAAATGCTTGCAGTGAAACAAGTTGTTGTGACTAACAGTTGGAACAAGAACTCAGACGGTCTTGATGCTTTGCATAAGGAGGTCGAGACGATGAAAGACTTGGACCACCTAAATATCGTCCAGTACTTGGGCTTTGAGCAGAAGAAGAACACTTACAGTTTGTTTCTTGAATACGTTGGCGGCGGGTCGATTTCATCCTGCCTCAAATCGTTTGGAAAGTTTGATGAGCCTCTTGTTAAGTTCATCACACGACAGGTGTTGGATGGTTTGAGGTACTTGCATTCAAACGGCATTTTGCACAGAGACTTGAAGGCCGACAACTTGCTTCTTGAAACTGACGGTACGTGTAAGATTTCTGATTTCGGTATTTCCAAGAAGTCTCAGGATATTTACAGCAACAATGCTGAGATGTCGATGCAAGGTACAGTGTTCTGGATGGCACCCGAGGTCATTCACAACATTGTCGAAGACAAGAAACAAGGATACAGCGCCAAGGTCGACATATGGTCGCTAGGATGTGTCGTTCTCGAGATGTTCGCTGGGCAGAGGCCTTGGTCGAACGAGGCGGTCATTAGTGCTATTTACAAGATCGGAAAGACAAAGCTTGCCCCACCGATCCCAGATGATGTCAGTGACGAGGCAAAGGACTTTTTGAAACAGTGTTTCACTACTGACTCTGAAATCAGACCCACGGCAGAAAAACTTCTTGAGCATCCGTTCATGGTGAAGGACCCCAGCTTCCGCTTTAATGATACCAAGCTCCGTGAAGTGATCAAGTTCAACACTAGACGGGTGTAACTACAGAGATGAATG